TCTTGAAACGCTCGTAAACACTCTAGAAGGTGCAATTCATGACGGATTTTTATGAAACTTGGTGTGAGTGTTTGTAATCAACCAAGGATAAACCCTATCAAAAATCAGAAACATTGAAATATATTTAGTATGAGTTATTGCCCTTGTTCTTGAAAACGCGTTCAATTTAAGCTTGTAAACACTCTAGAAAGCACAATTCTTGATGGATTTTGACAAAACTTGGTGTGAGTGTTTGTAATCACCCAAGGATACACCCTATTGAAAATCAGAAGAAAAAAAAAATATTTACTATGAGTTATTGCCCTTGTTCTTGAAAACGCGTTCAATTTTTAGTTCGTAAACACTCTAGAAGGCACAATTCTTGACGGATTTTGACAAAACTTGGCATGAGTGTTGGTTATCACCCATGGATAAACTATTGAAAAACAGAAAAATTGAAAAATATTTAGAATGAGTTATTGCCCTTGTTCTTGAAAACGCGTTCGAATTTTTGCTTGTAAACACTCTAGAAGGGACAATTCTTGAAGGATTTTGGCGAAACTTAGTGTGAGTGTTCGCAATCACCCAAGGATGAAAGAAAATAAAAAATAGAAAAATATTGAGTATGAGTTATTGCCCTTATTCTTGAAAACACGTCCAAGTTTCTTGTCTTCATGGAAAACAGGTAACAATAAGCAATACGACTTGGCATGGTGGAAGTGATATATTTGGTGTTTATCTACAATAAATAAATTTTATTTCAGAGAACTACAGTTACTGTAGATGATAGTAGATTGGCGTGTAGTGACTATAGATAAACGATAGTGACTGTAGATGATAGTAGATTGGTGTATAGTGTCTATAGATAGAGGATAGATACTATAGTTGATAGTAGGTTTGTGTGTAGTGACTATAGATAGAGGATAGTTACTGTAGATGATAGTAGGTTGGCGTGTAGTGACTATAGGTAGAGGATAGTAACTGTAGATGATAGTAGATTGGTGTATAGTGACTATAGATAGAGGATAGATACTATAGTTGATAGTAGGTTTGTGTGTAGTGACTATAGATAGAGGATAGTTACTGTAAATGATAGTAGGTTGGCGTGTAGTGACTATAGGTAGAGGATAGTAACTGTAGATGATAGTAGATTGGTGTATAGTGACTATAGGTAGAGGATAGATACTGTAGATGATAGTAGTTTGGCATGTAGTGACTATAGATAGAGGATAGTGACTGTAGATAATAGTAGGTTGGTGTATAGTGACTATAGATAGAGGATAGTAACTGTAGATGATAGTAGTTTGGCATGTAGTGACTATAGATACAGGATAGTAACTGTAGATGATAGTAGGTTGGTGTATAGTGACTATAGGTAGAGGATAGATACTGTAGATGATAGTAGGTTGGCGTGTAGTGACTATAGAGAGAGGATAGTGACTGTAGATGGTAGTAGGTAGGTGTATAGTGACTATAGGTAGAGGATAGATACTGTAGATGATAGTAGGTTGGCGTGTAGTGACTATAGATAGAGGATAGTGACTGTAGATAGATACCACCACTTCGTCCCCCACTATATCCAAAATTGAAAAACACTGTCATATCATAATGTGAATGTATTTATCAAAATGAAACACAAAACATAGTACACAATCTATGTGATAAGACCAGCTGTAGCTTACTCAAAACTCTCTTGATAAATATTGTAGTCAGAACTGTAATTGTCTAAGGGAGACAACTATGTTTTATTTGCGTTGTATTATGTTATAAGCAACCTTTAAATATAGGTGGCATTAGAGAGTGGGGTCTTAATTAATAAATAGTTAACATGGAGTCAGAATAAAAATGCAGAATCTACCGCCGCCTAAACCGCTTGATGTTACGGTTCGTAACAAACAAGACAGTTGGAAAGCATTTAAAAGTGCCTTATCTTTGTACTTGAAAGCCTCGGGAGCGGAGACAAAGTCTGAAACGTTTCAAAGAGCCATTCTCTTCACGTCATTGGGGATAAAGAAAGAAAAATAGCTTAAACTTTCGACATTGTGACGGAAGGTGAAAACGAGACAACAGTCCAAGATCTCATTAAAATGTAGGATAATCATTTTACTGGAAAAAGAAATTCTATATATGAAAGACATTTGTTTCGTAGTTTGAAGCAGGCGAGTAGAGAATTTGACAAATTTCTGATTGGTGTTCAAGACCAGACTAAACATTGCAATTATGGGGCAATGACCGAAGGTCGGAAGAACTTATCAGGGATCAAATAGAAGTTATAGATAACCCAAAGTTAAAACAAAAACTTTTATATGAATCTGATTTGACTTTAGCTAAAGCAACTGAAATGTGTAGAACGTGTGATAGAAATGGATGTTCTGCCATTGGGAAAGTTTGCAACAAAAGTGGACATTTTTCTCAAATGTGTCATACAAAGAAAGTTCATGAAATTCATCGTTATGGTACTGATTCAGAAGTTGGTATGGTAACAAATAATGAGCCGCATATGCATGAAATATCAACAATATCAAAAATGAATGGAATGTTGAAGCTCGGGTTGGTTATCAAGAGAAGAAAATTATATTTAAACCTGATAATGGCGCTCAAGCTAATGTGTTACCGAATCAAATATAAAGACAGATCACAAGGAAGCCAATTAAGGAAACTAAAAAGAGACTAGTGACTTATAATAAACAACAGTTGAAAGTTGTAGGTGAAGTGAAATTAAATGTGAAAATCAAGAACAAAGCAGCAGTTCTGAACTTTATAGTGATTGATGATGAAACTATACTTATTATTAGTTTAGAATCTTGCCAAAAATTTGATTTGATTCGAAGAGTTGAAACTATGAATAATTCTGACAACGGTGAAAATTTATTCAAATTATATCAAGATGTGTTTTCGAAAGAATTAGGAGGTTTAAATGTTCCAGAGGTTAAGATATATATAACTGATGATGCCAAGCCTGGCCAAAATCCACCACGCAGAATTCCATATGCCCTGCATGAAAAAGTTAAAGATGAACTTCTGAAAATGGAAAAAAAAAAACGGTATCATAAAAAGAGTTACCACCAGTGGTAGCCCCGAAGGCTAGTTTTTCGGGCAAGGCATTAAAAACAATTTTTTTTGAACGGCCCGATTTTATTATTTTTTTTTTTTAGGAATTTAAAAATGAAATCATATCTTTTCCCGAATATCCTATACTATAACTGTATTTTTTTTTAAATTGATAGCCCGATTGTATTCTCCTATAAATATTTCATAATTCAAATTTTTTAAGGATCGAAATCACTGCCCGAATGTCATTCGTATGATTATATTTTACATATTTCAAAAATTGAAATCGCAGCCCGAAAGTAGAGTTTAGAATTTTTTTTTACACAACCAAAAAAAGGCCATTTGGGCACACATTTCAATTTTTTTTCAATAAATATTGTATGACATCTGTGCCCGAATGGTCTTAAATTAAGATAGTTCGGTAAGGTTTCAGTGAAACAATAGTGTTTCTCTCGAAGAGTTTGCAAAACTCTCAGAACTAAGTTAGAAATTCGGGCAACCTCAGATATCTCGGAGAATAACCCAAGGCTCCATGTGTACGACCCTTGTACAATTGGAAACAGGAAAAGGGAAATAAAAATATTATTTCTGTCGTTCCGGCAAAATTTCCCTCATTGCCAAGTACACACTGCATTTCATTTCATTTCCCAATACTAACAGTCATTAATATATCAATTGCTTTTCTTAACTTATATCATATTCTTGTCTCACATTACGACTTGACAATGGAATTTTATAACGACTCACAACTGTATAATACCAAACAATGAATGTTCTTACAAATTTCAGTGAATTAAATGCAAACCGTCCGCAAAATTTTGTCCTATCACAAAAATGTAACAGTTTGACATATCCCCAAAGCAACCATATAGCCCACATTTGCTTTCCATATAGTCAACATTTGCTTTGGTTAAGATTGTGATTTGAAGTCGAGACCAAACTTGATCAATACAATGGCAAAATCAATATTTCATGTCATATTACTGTTACAAAACTCCATATATATATTGAAGCTGTATCGATAATATATTGAAGTTTGCTGGTGGAAATGGTGATAACTGATTCACCGGGAGAAATCAAGGGTGTTTAGTCGACTCGTTTACATTAACTTGTCAACAAAAAGAGTTAACATGCCTAAAACCTTCAGTAGAGTTGAGGTTTCAGGTGCTTTCACTAGTGACAGGGTCGCCCTCTCAGCATGGCACTATTCTCCTTTGCAATTCATCCGTTGGCAGTTTACATTCAGAACAATGATGGTATTAAAGGTATTAAAGTCCCTAATTTCTGTCGAGAAATAAATATGATTTATCTTCTATTACTACTTCGAAACAGTCATTTAGTTTGATAGGAATTTGATAGATTTAGTAAGGTATCAGGGGCCAAATTAAATGTAGAGAAAACAGAATTATTGTGTATGAACAATTCCAGGAACTTTATACCCGTTCAAAATCAACATTCGAAGTCTCTAAGTATGACTGTAATATGGACAGACAGAAAGCTCAGCTTCAGAGAAAAACTCATTGTCATTAACACTATATTATCAGCCTGTCCGTGTATGTCGCAAGAATCGTTCCATCGTCCAAGTCATTTTTCGTATATTTGTGGAACGGAAGTATTCTAAAAACCTTTCTTTCATATTGTTATAGATCTACGACAGTTAGATCAAATTTTGTATTAGATTCGCGATAATGATAAGTCACTGCTAATACTAGTACTATTGACAAAGATGTATAATTGTCACTTACTGATCTCGATGAAGGAGTACTTTTTAGGCTTTGATGGTGTTGACATAGTCTATGCAGTTCCGGCAGTTAAAGAAAAATCAAGATTTGATTCAAAAAAGAAGTCAGTAATCAAGGGTAAGAGGCCGTCCAAGTTTAAAAACTCAAACTTAACTTTACTTCGACTTTTTATGATGAAAATAATAACCAAGATTTTATACTTTTTCCTCAAGAAAAGGGAAGATAAGTAAATTTATTTAAACAATATGATAACAGGAATGATTACAATCAATATTTGCAAGAAAAGAGGCCAAATATATTCGTGTGGAATTTGATAAATAAGATAATTAACAAATCAGTTCAGATTTCAATAGTAGAAAGAGCAATGCCTTGTATTCCACCAACGATGTTGATAATACCTTTATCATTAATGATGGTACCAATCAATCTGTTTGTAGCAGTTGCCCAAATTAAAATTCAGTCTAGAGGGCCGAAGGCTTTACGAAAAATAATGTCTCCCCATTCAAGTGAAGTATGAATGATAGATGAGAGGCATTATTTAAGTAGAGACGGGGGCTGAGCATGTATAAATCAACCCGCCCCTATAATCATTTGGTAAAAATTATTCTGATATTAAATTTTTCTTTGTAATAAAAAATTATAAATTTTTCAGTTTTGCCCATCCTTAAGTTATTTGGTACTTTCAAATCTGATTCATACTTCACATGGATGAGGGGACTAACATTGTAATTGGTTCTATCAGTGTTAATTACCATGCAAGTATGATATATAACATATAGTTAGCAGACAGAATTAATGATATTATTTATCAAATTCAATCTATCAGGTCGGCTGGTATAGAAAATATTTTTTTATATTTTCCCCTTGAGTTAAAGGAACAGTTGCACCATTTTGTGGACCAATCATACCCTCATAGTCTCAAAGACTGTTTAAGTCAGTAATAAAGTACGAAGCTCTCCATGGAAATTTGAGCTTTCAAATCCATGTGCGTGTCCAGAATTATCAGAAAGTTAAATAGACAAGTCATCTTTTCTTGAGACACTGCCATATATAGAAAAACATCTTTATAGATAGAAAAAAAAAATCTAGTTTAAGTTATTTTTGAAAGAATTATGCGATTTTCGTACATTTCTAGTACTTATGAAGACTATTTACATATATATATATATACAAGACTCAAATCAAATCCCCAAAATGGCGCACCTGTCCTATAAATCCATAGACGTGGATATAATCCTTGCTGGCTTTAAACTCTCAGTATTAATAAATGAAAAAATATACCTTTCTTTGTAGTTTCAATAGCCAACCCATCCTGCAGACACAATACATTGATAACTAAACATTGAACATACTGAAACAAGTTCATAGAATTAATAAGTATCTTTGTATTACTCTGTTTACGTCAAACAAATTAGTCCCATCAATACACCATATTACTTTCATTTTATTAACACTGTCCGTGCCCAATGCTAACCAGTACCAATTCACCCCGTCGACAACCATCATATCCGTTACCAAACCATATTATCATCAAACCAAGGACAAATCATTATGGAAACTACTTGCTCTAAAGAAATCTGCGTTAATTATTGGATCATCTAACCTGAATCGAATTACCAAAACCAGTTCAGACACTGAAATACATTCTTACCCCGGTGCCCAAATCCATCACATACAGTCAATCCTGGATCATACGATCATGATCCCAAACCTACTACCGTTATTCTTCATGTAGGCCTCAACAACCGTGATCAGCTATCAAAGACCCCCATTAACTAAGCCCAGAAATTAATCGCTACAGCCAACAAAACCTTCCCAAACTCCAAGATCCTCTTCACATGTATACCCATTTCAAATAAAATCTCGAACAAAGCACAACAGAACCTCAGCACCCTCAACAACATGATGATGGAGTCCAGTATCAACAGCGCAACAATCTTACCACCCTACGAAGAAGAATTCGAACCGGTTGATAATCTTCATTGGTCTCCAGAAACAGCAAACAGTATTTATTTGTTTTGGATACACCAGCTTCAAGCATCGAGTAAGTCTTTAAACTAATTACTGGGGATAAAAAATACTGAGAGGCCACTGCTAGGACAAACTGCACTTAATTTGAGCCGCAAAATTCTCACACCCCTTCAGCATTCAATCTTAGACCGTGGGGCGTGTACTTGGTTTAACCAGTCCTAATGGTAGTTGAGCCACTGAAGAGTGCAGATAAAATTTAGATAAGTAATACGTTAATAAGCATCTTTTTCTCGTTTTGTTTTCCGGGATTCCCAATCAGTAGCCCTAATGGGAAAGAAAATAAGACCCAATGAGAGGTATCTCGAGCTAGTAGCCCTAATGGGAATTAGCCCTAACGAGAATGAACCCAAATGGATAGACAATATTATTGATACAAGGTTATAAACTTGAATTGCCAATACTTGGTATTGTAATATATACAACAAAGTTTTTATTTTATTGCGTTAATAATTCGAAATTTTAGAGTTTTAATTTCTTGTTCACAAATTGTAGGCTGTTTTTAATCTCATGTTGGCATTTCTTCACAAAGCCCGCACTGACTGCACCTTCATTTGAAAAAAAAATAGATGAAATTGTAGGCCTAATGATTGTGTTATTCCCGATATTTTTTCTGTTGTTACTTTTATATTAGGCCTACACTTAAAAAGTATTTTTATCTACAGGTAAACAAAGATAAAGCTATTTTATATTTTATAGTTGTGGTTATTTATAGTTTTGTCAAATATTATCTGGAATGTGTGTAATTAAGTCTACACGTGATTAAACAGGCACTGGCACGAGCTTTCTTAGTCTTAGTAGGAAAGAAATATGAATCAAATTCCTTCGTCGCATAAGTATCGCCCTAAAAATTAATATTTATTATCGATCTGGTCTTTTATATTTCATAGTGGAACGGGCTACAATAAAGGAATCAATTTCGGAATTCGGCCACTTTGGTTCAAACATATACGGTCAACTGACAATTTATGGATCGCTGGTACTTTCTTTGGCAGAACTGTCGCAATCAGTAAGGCTGCTGTTTGAATTTGTTGGCAGTAAATTATAGCGTGCGAAACATTAGTATCATTTTGTGAGATTTTTAAGGCCAATAGAACTTAAGGCCACTTAAAATAGACGTTAACCCAACTGAGACAATATTGGGGTCCATAATGATCGCGACGAATTTTAAAATCAGTTACAAATTTCGCTTGTGTACCCGCTCGTGTTGCAGAACATTTTTTAGGTCCTTACACGTAACTTTTCTCTCTATTATTCTTTACAAATTGAGAATTTTGAGATGACATTTCTGGAGTAAAGTTCTATTCTTATTTTATACTTGATTTATTCATCATATACCCAAGAGTTTTTCATTTATTTTTCACAAATTGCAGGCTTAAAAGCACCAGGGTTGAGAGCTAACAGGCTAGAAGTATCAAAAGGCAAGAGTTAAGCTGTTTACATTTCTGGTAATACTATTGTTTTACATTTGACCTGTAGAATATTTTGTTGAAATATTAATGGAAACCTTTCGTAAAAAAGTTGTGAATATAAAAAAAAAATTCTGTACGATATCTATCATTGATCTGCTGGTATGAAATATTAATTTACAGTCTTTAAAGAAACATCTGTTCAGTGGGAGACTTTGCATTTACTATAAATACGTGACCAATTCTAACATTCGACAGTGTATCAACAAGTCTCTATATTTAATATCAACAGGTCTTGCTAACGTTAAAACCATGAATAACCTATTATGTTCCGCTCTGTTGATTTCCCTTATACCGATTCTTGTAGATTCCGGTAAATATTTTATTTATTATCTAAAAGATTCTTTATGAATCTTAAGTCAAATTTTGTATATCTGGGGAAATTTATGTAAGCTTTTTTTTATTGTGGGAAGAGTCCGAGTCTGAAGAAGTTTTTCTCAAGGCAACATTCTTTTCAGCAGCATGGATTAGGCTACTGGTCTTAACACATTCTGAATCATCTTTGTCTATAAATAGTAAATTAATATGTAGTTCTTGAGACAAATACTTGATGATATATTGTTGGGGGTAGTATATCGAGTTAGAAATAATTAATATCAAAATTAAATTTACAGATTGTTCAACTTATCCAAATGTAACAGACGCAAATTTTGATAAAGACTGCAATGGAAATGTAGTCATTACATGTAGTAAAGGTTTTCAGATGGAACAAGGGCTGGAATGTGTTGAGGAAGAATGGAGTTATCAAAACCCAATATGTAAACGAACAGGTAAGATAATTTCAAATAATTGAATTACAAATACACAATATTAGAGTTGATACATCAAATCGCTCAGTGAATAGTTGATATCAACTTCCTTGATACATGTCATAATACATTATATAGTGGAATTCAAATCAATAAACTTCATGAAACAGTTTGGAGAGCTTAACATGTTAGATTGCAGCGCGCTCATTTCTTTAATCAAAATAAGTAATTAACAGATTACCCAATTTGATTGATTTTGGTGTCAATGGAAAGTACAATCGATTGTCAAGAAGTTGTAGTTACCTGGTTTTTAAATTTTGATTCCATTGTTTTTTTTAAAACCAGATGTTGAAAATAACCAAACTTTCATTGCTTGTATCTCGTGACCTTGACTTTTGTTGATCTTGTGACCTGAATAAAAGTGATATCCCATGACAAGATCTAATCTTATCTTCATTTTTGTTGTATGATAAGTCACTAAGCTATTGTCATTTAAAAATTGTCACTAATGTACATAGAGCAAAATATTCTATTTATCTGTATTATGCATGACTTTTAAACGGCTAAATTTAAACAGACAATTAAGGAATATGTCATGTGTTTAAGTGATCTACAGTCTTGTACTAACTCAGCACAACCCTTCAATGAACAGCCACCAAAAATCTCCCTAAAGCAATTTTCAACTAAATTTACCTCTATAAAGCACCGCCCTCTTGACACAGCCAGCGCCTTCATTTTCTTGACCACCCTGCAAAGCAGTCAATTATCAATAATCCTTGTCAATCCGATAGATTAAACTCAGAGTTAATTACTGCCAATGTTTTATTTTCTGCATCACATTTTCAAAATCAGTTTTAACATCATAGGTCTCTAAACTTGAAATTTCAACCTCTGGAATTTAAAGATACTTGAAAATTTTTTTTTTTGCAATTAGTTAGAATTGTCTCCATAAATATTTTGTAATGAAAAAATTTGACTCATGAAGTCAACCGATGAAGTTGACCGATGCCAACTTTATATGACCACTTTTGTAAAACTCAAACTTTTGAAGGCTCATATCTTGTGACTTTGACCTTTGGACTAAAGTTGTTGCCAATGGAGAGGTCTATTCCATCATAACTTCACTTCTGTTGTGTGGATTTAAAGCCAAATGAAAATATCTTTAAAGAGCTCTGTCACATGACCATATTTACATAAATCAACATTTCTCATATAGATATCCTTAATATGTGTAATCTCTCCTTTCTGATGATATATTTCACATGGTATTTTGATAAAAAATGCATTAAAAGAAAAATGTCAATCTGACTTCTACAGTAACTGTGTGTAATTTAGATTTTGTTGTTAATTCTCAAGCCTCTAACATGATCAATGAATATCTTATGAATAATAATTGTAGACACTTGAAAGTTTTAACATTATCTAACATTGAACACTCGATAACGAACATAATATCATTTTTGTATTGGGCGTGGCACATCCAGGTTACATGTACCTTTACTTTAAATATGTACAAGTTCTATTAAAAAATACTGTAAGTCACTCTTAAAAGGTGTCTTCTTACTTCTTTTATTATACAACAACAAAACTTATTGTGCTTCAATTACATCTTTATTTTTGTTGTGCAATATTAACTTACAGCTATTTAAATATCGTCTTTTTACTTTTCAACTTTTTACTACTGAAGTTAGGGTAATGGTAGGGTTAGGTTAGGATATTATCAAATACATACATCTTTTTTTACTTTTTATACGCCCACATGAAATGGGGGGCGTATATTGTCGTCACCCATGCCCGTCGGTCCGTCCGTCAATTGCTCGTAAACACTCTACAGAGCACAATTCTTGACGGATTTTAACGAAACTTAGTATGTGTGTTCGCAATCACCCAAGGATAAACCCTATTGAAAATCAGCGAAATCGAAAAATATTTAGCATGAATTATTGCCCTTGTTAATTTTTAGCTCGTAAACACTCTAGAAGGCACAATTCTTGACAGATTTTGACGAAACTTGGTACGTTATCACCCAAGGATAGACCCTATTGAAAATCAGCGAAATCGAAAAAAATTAAGTATGAATTATTGCCCTTGTCCTTGAAAACGCGTTTAATTTTTAGCTCGTAAACACTCTAGAAGGCATAATTCTTGAAGGATTTTAACGAAACTTGGTATGAGTGTTCGTAATCACCCAAGGATAAACCCTATTGAAAATCAGTGAAATCGAAAAATATTTAGTATGAATTATTGCCCTTGTTCTTGAAAACGCGTTCAATTTTTAGCTTGTAAACACTCCAGAAGGCACAATTGACGGATTGAAACGAAATTTGGCTTGAGTGTTTGTTATCACCCAAGGATAAAGCCTATCGAAAATCAGAAAAATCGAAAAAATATTTAGTATGAGTTACTGCCCTTGATCTTGAAAACTCATTCAATTTGTAGGTCATAAAAACTCTAGAAGGCATGATTCTTGCTGTACTTTGACAAAACTTGGTTTTATTATTCATTACCGCGCTGAAGATTGAATATTTGTCTTCTAGAGTTTTCACGAGCTAAAGATTGAACATGTTTTCAAGAACTAGGGCAATAACTCAATATTATTCAGTATCGCCCTAAACAGTTCAAAAGAAGTGTATGACTAAAGGTTGAATATTTCATACTGGTGATTGTTACTGTACTGCTAAATATTTATGTTGAAAATCAAAGCTGCCAGTGGGCGTATATTACCTTGCCTGGCAAGCTATCTTTTCTAGTAAAAATCTCAATGACTTAAAAAATACAACTTTTCACCGATGTAGTCAGTCGGATACACACTGTCTCGGAACCATTCCCAGGGCTACAGTTTTAGATTGTTTGAAAAATTCTATTTGCAATCTTGACTGTTGGTACCTGATGTTAACAGCTTGAACTTGTTTTCCAAATTATCATTGTGATATCGACCTCAGATGATCTTAACCCAGAAGTTTATGTAATACTATAATTTTTATTTCAGAATGTAGTTACAAGTATTCAAATGAAACAGATGTCCATCCGATAGAAATTGATTACGAAATGGCATCTGATCAGGCGCAATGTGATGATAATTGTAAGTTTACTGCTGGGTGTGCCGTTTCATTTTTCGACCCGGACTCTTATTGTCATCTTTACACAGCACCGCTCATCTTTATGTCATATAATACAGATTTAAACCAATGTATTGAAAAGTGTAAGGAGAGGAGTGACTGTGTAACAGTGAGCAGTCGGATATCTGATACACAATCATGTTATTTATTGAACGTTACCCAGGCTGAGATACCTGGTGACTGGAAAGGTGACAATTCGATGGGAAAATGTACCGTAGTAGAAAAAATATGTTAATTAAAACATGTTTATCATGATGAATCATTTTTTTACTTTACTTTTCGTAACAAAACTAACCTGAAGTTTGGGGTGGTGGGTTGACATCACTAGTGAAATGTTGGGAAGCTAATGAAGTTCTTTACCCAAATAAAAAACACACCTTAAAAGAACACTACCTCTAAGGATGAGCAAAAAATTTATTCTTTTAAACTTGTCCGAAATGAGCCTTTCTTTATTAGTGGACTCAGCTGGTGTTAAAACTTTACAACAGAATTCTCCCACATGACCCGATAAATCAATAAGTAAAACCCATAAAACTACAAAAGTAATTATTGAAAAATAAGGTAAATATTGAAAAACGCTTAATATTTTTAAGCTTTAATTGTTAAGGCACCAGGTAAGTCCACTATGAATTTAGACTCATTTTGGCCAAGTTAGAGAATTTATATTTTATGTGCATTGTTAGAGGAAGTATCCTTTAACCTAGCTGCTCCTAGGACGTGATGTATACGGAGGGGATAACACCATTTTAATCATACCAGTAGATCAACAAAAGTCTCGGGGGTAGGCTTATGAAGTTTTTCAAGGAGGGTTTAAGTTTTTAACTATTTGGCACAACATAGGCTTAGAAATAGCTTAAAATGTGCTTTGTTGAAATTCTACGGCATATTTAGAAAAAAAAATTGACTTGTTAAGTCGAGGGAGTGATTAAAATGGTTGTGAACTACGTTCACGTGTTGTTTCCGTGTAAAAACCACGTGTACATAATTTCGTATGGGCTTTGCCATTTTCAGGGCTCATTCGAGTATCATGTAAATGATGTTAGTATTAGTAGCCTAACTGCAAAACCCCTCTCCCTAATTTCCCAGGTCTTCACAAACTCAAATGGCCTAATCCAGTTCTGGAGGGTCATCTCATTGTAGTTCTTTGATCTATTTTTTTTTCTCCCCAATACACACGCCACAGATATTCTGACTATTTCTGATTATTTGTAATACCTAGCAAGATTTTGCTCTATCATAGAACTGTAAAAGTTTGACATATCCCCAAAACAGCCAAATAGTCCTCTATTTAGACAATGAATACAGGAAGTGCTATAGGGCTCAATATTCACTATAATACAGGCATAGCACCCTTTGTTGTCCCGTTCAACACAACCAGTAATCGAGCAAGCAAGATAGTTCATACGCACTATAAGAGCCTTCTACAAATTGAACGCATTTTCAAGAACATGGGCAATGACTCATACAAATTATGTTTCGATTTTTCTGATTTTCAATAGGGTTCATCCTCAGGTGACAACAAACACTAACACCAAGTTTCATCAAAATCTGCGAATAATTGAACCTTCTAGAGCGTTTACAAGCTAAAAATTGAACGCGTTTTTAAGAACAAGGGCAATAAGTCATGCTCATTATTTTTCGTTTCTTTTGATTTTCAATAGGGTTCATCCTTAGGTGATTACTAACAAGTTCCATCTAAATCCGTCAAGTTTTGTGCCTTCTGGAGTGTTTTCAAGCTAAAAAAATGCATTTTCAAGAACAAGGGCAATAACTCATACTAAATATTTTTCAATTTTTCTGATTTTCAATAAGGTTCATCCTTGGGTGATTACGAACACTCATACCAAGTTTCGTTAAAATCCATCAAGAATTGTCCCTTCTAGAGGGTTTACGAGCTAAAAATTTAACGCGTTTTCAAGAACAAGGGCAATAACTTATACTTAATATTTTTCGATTCTTCTGATTTTCAATACGGTTCATCCTTGGGTGATTACGAAGACTCTTACCAAGTTTTGTCAAAATCCGCCAAGAATTGTGTCTTGTAGAGTGTTTACGAGCAATTGTGGACGGACCGACCGACGGAGGGACGGACGGACATGAAATTGCCTCTTCTAAATGTAGTCTTGTGAAACTGTAGTTGTCTCCCTTATGTCATTATTTTAGTATCAAAAATAAACTAGAGCCACATGTGGCACAGAGTGGGACTTTGCAAATGTAGCAAATTGCAAAAGACCCCGAAAAAATCAACCTTCGACGATTATTAGATCAAGTGCAAGAACAGTCTAAAGATGAGAAATTTTCATTTTTTAGAAGATTCTTATACCAGAAGTAGACGTCAGACCTCACAAATGAAAGTATCAGCAGATAGCCAAGGTCGATGACCTTTGATCTTGTAAAGGAGAAGGTCTAAAAAGGTCAAGATAAAGAGATATACGTCATCAAAATTTCTAATTGCACACGACTATAAAACCGGAAGTTGCGTAGGACAGCAAATATAAAAGTATAAATAGATAGCCAATGCCAATGACGTTTGATCCTATAAAAGTCAAGGTCAACAAACGTCAAGGTCAAAAATTGAAAATTTTCAATTTCCAAAACCTGTTCCTTTTTGTGAACTATGAAGCGGAAACAACCGAAATTCTAAGACAAAGTGGCTCAAAATATGAGGGAATTGTATGCAAAGTTCCATTTTGAACAAATGTATACTTTGTCAAGGTCAAAAATTGAAAATTTTCAATTTCCAAAACCTGTTCCTTTTTGTGAACTATGAAGCGGAAACAACCGAAATTCTAAGACAAAGTGGCTCAAAATATGAGGGAATTGTATGCAAAGTTCCATTTTGAACAAATGTATACTTTGCCAAAGAATACAATTTGTAGAACTATTCATTATTTCATTGTAAAAATGTAATGATATTGAAAGAATATTTTGGATTTAACATATAGTCCTGATGCAAAGACAGCTTGCTTTGGTAACAGAAAATCTATTCTATCATTCTGCTATATCTAATTGCTGTATATATACACTATTTGACTAGAATTTACAAATATAGAGTTTTGATTTGGAACAGATTATTCTGTATCATAAAGAAAAATGTCCACTTGAGTTTAAAAACTTGTGCAAGGCAATTAGCAAAACGTATGAAGAGTTTTGATAGTTTTGTCTTCTTAATAGGCCATTTCATTGAATTGTGTTTGTATTCTCAACAAGTGACTCAAAGGATAATTACATATTTGTACTTAAGATCATCCATTGCATAACTCGGAGAATTGCACACTGCTCCTATTTTAAGATAGAAGTAAATTAGATGTTTAAGCAGTGGTGGACCAAGCCTCCTGAGATTTGGGGTACAAATACGTGGCAGACTGTTGAGGTTAAAATGGCAGCAGTTTGGTGGAGCGCTGAAGGAACAAGCATGAAGCATCCCACTGAGCCTCGGAGAGAGAGTTGCCCCCATGAATATTTTTGAAAAATAGACTTGATTTGGTGCATTCTGACACATATTGGGACAACCCAAACCCCATCCACTATACCTCCACTGGTATTAATACATGACAATATACATAACATAGCTTGTATAGTATCCCGTGTCCTGTGAGTAAGTACTAGTATTTAAAGGCTCCAGCCTGTGCAGCTCGCCTTATCAGTTCCTTTAAAACATATTCATCCAGATTATTGAAGGCTTCTGATTGGGTAACCTCTGTCAGATGGTTCATAGCAAATCGAAAACAAAATTCTTCCAAGCTCTGTAAATACAAAAATTATTTTATCAAGTCAATTTGTTAACAATATAAACATTGCTGGAATATTAAAGACACTATATGTAATGAGAGACATATCTAAATACCATACAGTATGTAATGAGAGACATATCTAAATACCATACAGTATGTAATGAGAGACATATCTAAATACCATACAGTATGTAATGAGATATATATCTAAATACCATACAGTATGTAATGAGAGATATATCTAAATACCATACAGTATGTAATGAGAGATATATCTAAATACCATACAGTATGTAATGAGAGATATATCTAAATACTATACAGTATGTAATGAGAGATATATCTAAATACTATACAGAATGTAATGAGAGATATATCTAAATACTATACAGTATGTAATGAGAGATATATCTAAATACCATACAGTATGTAATGAGAGATATATCTAAATACCATACAGTATGTAATGAGAGATATATCTAAATACTATACAGTATGTAATGAGAGATATATCTAAATACCATACAGTATGTAATGAGAGATATATATTTAAATACCATACAGTATGTAATGAGAGATATATCTAAATACTATACAGTATGTAATGAGAGATATATCTAAATACTATACAGTATGTAATGAGAGATATATCTAAATACCATACAGTATGTTATCACATAATGTAATGAGAGATATATCTAAATACTATACAGTATGTAATGAGAGATATATCTAAATACTATACAGTATGTAATGAGAGATATATCTAAATACTATACAGTATGTAATGAGAGATATATCTAAATACCATACAGTATTAGAAAAAAACATTTCTGAAAGATCATTAATATTGAAGATTTGTCTTAAAATTCTGTCCTTAAAGGATATATTCGCCAGTTTTGAGGGTCGATATTGGTCTTGAATATATGTACATAGTCTTCAGAAGTACTATAAATGTATGAAAATCGCATAATTTCTTCAAAAATACCTCAAATAGGAATATCTATTTCTATATATTTATGCTTTTTCACATAAGGCCCTTCAAAATTAATGACGTCATCAAACATTTAGTTTTAGTGGAATTACAGACGTCTAATTTGGACTAGTGCAAATTAATGCTATCATGCAATGTCCCCAATACAAATACAAAATTTAAATTTTCAAAAACCTTTTTACAATCCCTTTATGTTATTGAAAGTTTACCTTAGCTTCAAACTTGATAGCTGCAGCATATAACATGGCTACATTGTCTACTGTAATACCTTGCTTTATAATTAACTCACACATCTTCTTCAGTGCTGGTTCACAATATGCATTGGCTAAATCTAATAATCCTGTAAAAGTTCACAATGCATGCTCTAGTAAACTTTAAACAGATGGTTGTCCAAATTTACACCCATGAAATACTTAATTTTACAACCCTTTCTGAAAAATTGAGGCTATTCACATGTCATTTACCCTTGTTGAGCCATGATATCATATTAACTAGATTAAAAGTACCAATTTTTCATTAAGTTCAGAAGAACCTAAAGCCTGAATATCTTGTCACATAGCGCAGTATATATTTTTAACCGCAATTGATCACGTGACAAATTGAATAAATGACGAAGTCATACATGTGTGTTTGTGGCTTGATCAATTGCATTTACATACTAATAATGTTAACGAGACCAACTTTTAATTCTTATATTTATATTTGTCCCATTGTTAAGTGACAAGTTTATCAAAAATATACGCCAGATTGCGTAGGTGGTTTATTGAAGGGAGTGATAGAAGAAATGTAAATATTACGCAATATATACCTGAACAAATTGTATAGAGGTTGTTATTACTTGGAGTTCAGGCTATATAACTTTTATTTGATTTACCTTCTGTGTTTAAAGGGTTATATGTTTTGATAATTCATACCTATAGCATCTTCTGGTCGTAGATCAACATTGTCTGTATATAAATATTGTAAGAATGCCTTATATACCACATAGGAATACTGGGTTATTTCTATTGACCTATAATATATTTCATAATTACAACAGAGTAAATAAAATTAACTAATCAAACTTTCATTCGTTTTTTTTTTATTAGCTTTTAATATAGCCACTTCAATTAGGGTCTAACGACAGCCCCATTGACTGTTCAAATTAACCTTTTGACCTAACTCGATGGCGTCTGCTATAATCAGTCAAAGTTTCTACCTTTCCAGCGCTGACATTTTGTGATGTGGTGTTTATCAGGTTAGGTCAAAAAGGTCAATTTGACAAACATTCAAGACGGCTGTTCACCTTATATTCCAAGATGTTATTAGCCACTACATTTTAACTAGAACTGGAAGTCTGTGATGGACAATTTGGAATACTTGATTTGTAAATTATTATCTAATCTATCAAAATACAATGGGTCAGTAACCATTTTACTCAAGGTTCAATTTAGATTAAAAAAATTTGATTAGCAATTAGTCACTTCAGATTTCAGATTTGGCTAATCAAGATGAATTTTGATTCACATTCATAAAATTCTTAACCTTTTATCGAACCTTCTGTAGATTCCATAAATCCCAAAAGTGCAGAACTCAACAATCATGTGACCCTATATTAACTGGTTTGAAGAATTTGGAGACTGTAAGATGAGAAAGAAAACAATTTTGTACAACACAAATATAATTACTTACTCTTTTCCATCTTCATCCCAACATGATTGAAACATAGAACGAAAGTGATCACATCTAAAATATAAACATGATACTAAAAGATTTCATACAAGCTACATTCAACAACTTTTCAAAGAACAAATTGATTGTCTGGTTAAAATACAAAGGACAAAACATTAACTTGAATAATGATTAATCCTTCCATTGTGTGTACAAAATATGATGTCAATGCTATAACTTATTACTGTTACAGCGAAATAACAAATGGCTATTAAAGGGATTGTCAAGAGATTTTCTAATCTTTTATTACCAGGGACGCTGATAGTATCAATTTGTACCATTCCAATTTTCAATCAGACGTCTGTGGTTCTCGCAATTCTACTATTAACTAATTAAAGGACATACATACCTTATTTTTAATATACATTTATGTACATAGACTTCTTTAGATTCTATAATAAACTTCAAATCACCAGTTATCTATAAATTATAAAGATAGCTTGTCAGGCAAGATAATATACGCCCACTGGCAGCTTGGATATTAAATAAAAATAACAATTGTCTTGCACTTCTTTTGAACTTTTTTGGGGCGAAGCTGTATAATATTACCAAGTTTCGTCAAAATTTGTCAAGAATTGGGCCTTCTAGCTAGCTAGCTAAAACATGAACGCATTTTTAATAACAAGGGTAATAACTCAAACTAAATATTTTTCGATTCTTTTGATTTTTGATAGGGTTGTTGATAACAAACACTCACACAAGGTTTCATCAAAAACTGTCAAGAATTGTCCCTTCTAAAGTGTTTACGAGCTAAAACGTTTTCAAGTCCGATTGATTTGTTTTTCAAAGGGTTCATCCTTGGGTCAAAGCAAACACTCACACCAAGTTTCATCAAAATTTGTCAAGAATTGCACCTTCTACTGTGTTCAAGAACAACGGCAATTACTCATACTTTATTTTTTTTGATTTTTCTGCTTTTCAATAGGGTTCATCATTGGGTGATTACAAACAAATATAGCACGTTTCAACAAAATCAGTCAAATTGTGGATGGACCAATCGATAGACATGAAGACAATATAAGCCCCTCATTTCATGTGGGCATATAAAAATAGAACGTTTCAAGAACAAAAGAAAAAATCATACTTAATATTTTCTATTTTCCAAGTAATAAGGTTTATCCTTTACACCAAGTTTCTTCAATATCGTGGAGAATTGTGCCTTCTTCGTCCACCTAACTTATAAATTATTACCGGAACTGTACCCACTGTCGGATTTGTGAGAAAGTTATAAACACTGTTTTCACTACAGGTATCGATCTTGCATTACATATGTACTTAATATTCACAAAATAATTCAGATACATCTTACATCTTAGATGTAAACATTGTATACCATTGCTAAAGGAAGGAACATAAACATAGGAGTTCTTTCTTAGAAAGTACTACAATATTAATAAAGACCTGTGTATCAATCCAATAATTAAATAAATGTAAATAGCCATAGTAAATCAGTTAATTATTAGTAAACTGAAGACTTACTGGGTCATTAAAGGCTTTAGCTATACTTTGAGCCAGTTTATTTCCTTTTATCTGATCTGAAAAATAGAAATTACCATGTAGTGATGACCTAAAACATAAACCACTACAGAAGCAAATTTCATGTTGGCCTTAAAGGGGTATTCCACTTTTTTTGTAATAAGGTTTCATTATCAAAAGTGTCGTAAATTATACCTGAAAATATTTCTAGAATATGCTATTTATATCTATGTATCTTCTTGTCAATGATCAAACTGAATTTGTTTCAAAAGGCTTAATTAAAAACAGAGAATACTAATTGTTAATGAAGCAGTTTGACCTAGTTTTGGTGTATGGCTTTATAATGGCTAGATATTAATAGTAGAATACCTAGGAGACACATGTCTATACAATTAGGCGTTAAAAGGTTATGTAAACTTAAGTAAGCTTCAAAAATAAATGGCTGGATTTTTTTAGTCAAAACTTTCAGGTATGTTAGCCTCTTTTCTCACAGTGACAGTTTTCGTTATAAATCGAAAACATCTACAACACAATTGTATTAGAAGAACTTTTTAGTATGTACAGGGAACAATATAATAAACAAAAAGTTCCTGTCGAAAATGTATAGTTCTTTCTTGTTTTTTACGTTTATAAAAGGGACTTTAGTTAGAGTAAGATAGCTTGCCAGGCAAGGTAATATACACCCCACTGACAGCTTTGATTTTAAATAAAAGTATTTAGCAGTACAGTACAGTAACAATCACTAGTATGAAATATTCAACCTTCAGTCATACACTTCTTTTGAACTTTTTGAGGCGATACTTTCATCAAAATCTATCAAGAATTGGGCCTTCTAGAGGCTAAAACTTGAACACATTTTTAAGAACAAGGGCAATAACTCATACTAAACATGATTACAAAAAACCATACCAAGTTTTGTCGAAATCAAGAATTGTGCCTTGTAGAGTGGTTACGAGAAATTGTGGACTGACAGACGGACGGTTAGGGTGACGACAATTTACGCCCCCCATATCATGTGTTCGTATAAAAATGAAAACTTCTCAACTTTAGACTGTTCTTTCATTAAACCTAATTATCGTCGATTTTTTCAGGGTCTTTTGCAAATTGCTACATTTGTCCATTCATATTTTGATCTTTAGTTAGTTTTAGTGGAATTGTAACAATAAACATCAGAAGTCATATACATGTACTACATTACAGACCATGGGGAGCAACTCTAGTTACTGATAATAATGTACTAAATGACACAATGAGAGAGATTTTGATATACAGGATAACTTTTACTTGATTTTCCTCATTATTCATAATGCTAATATAAGATTTCAAACATGTTTCAGTCTACCTGTCAACCTGATCCTAGCTAAGTCAGTAACTTACCTACATTATAAGTTCTCCAACTAACAGGTGGTGTAGAGAAGGTAGCAAAAACATCATCAGTACACACAAACCTAGTGATGAGAGGTGAGGTGATTGATTGACCTCTACATTGACCCCACATATAAACATTGCCTGTCTGACTAGTAGCAGCTGAGATATGAGAATAATGACTAGCTGCTATACTGATAAATCTATAAGTTAAAATTATATTAATGTTAGAACTGATGTTCGCAAATATACATCACTCTAATTAAAATTATATCTAACATTTCTTCTGTTTTTCAATGTAATCTAAGAAATTTTCTACCAAAGGATCTTACCAATTATGTAATTTATAACCAATCAAAGCGTGTCATGTAAAACCGAATCCTGATAAAATAAGGATTTGTTGGATATGGAAAAGTAGAACAATTTCCCAGCCTTTTACAGATTCGCTATCCTACAATCCCTTAGTTTTTCAAGATTCTGGTTTTACTTGACACGCTTTCTTTGATTGGCTTAAAATACTACCAGCTGGTAGAAAACTTCAAAGATAACGATGTCCCCTAAAAATATCAGAAAATGAAAAACATACACAATTGTCTATAGAATATGGGATAATAGGTAAAACATAGCTCTGTATTCAATAATATTAATTACTTAGTAAGATAGCTCTGTATTCAATAATATTAATTACTTAGTAAGATAGCTCTGTAATAATAAATTGTACCATCAATTATCTAGTAAATACAAGAAGGTGATATAAACCATCATCATTATCATTAACAACAAATCATAATTATCAGCATCATTTTTAAAATGTTCATCTTATACATCAAAGAGCAAAGAGTTCCTTAAATGATGTTTTGCTGTATTTGTTACCTCTTAGAAATATGGAAAATACAACGTCCAAAATGGTAAATTTCATGCGTAACTTCAAAATTTGTCAACTTCCTAGTAGGAAACTTCCAACTTCCCAGAGGTAACGAATACAGCATTAACTAGACGCAGATAATTATAGGTTATATGAATTGTAAAAAAAGAAATGTACCTTTCTCCACCAGAATTGACCTTAGCGGGTGATACTAAATTAGCCTTGTTTCCGGTACCCAACTGACCATAAGAATTGGCTCCCCATGAATACATGACACCTTCATCTGATAGTACCATTGTATGAGCATAACCACACACAATCTGTTGGGCAGGAAAAGACACTTCATAGTCTTTGATAAATGAATTCTCGATAGTAACTTTCATGTGCATTAACACAATTAATTTTGAAAAAGCACAAATTTTTCCAGTAAAACAAAGTGTTTTTGTGATGTCACTATTTCAAAAGCCATATTATTAGCATCTTTAGCAATAGTAACATCATTAAATGCTAAACAAATGGTTGCCTAGCAAGATACGCCCACTTTCCTGAAACATTTTCAGTATATCAAGGGCAGTCACCTATCTGTGTCAAATCATACTAAAAATCTAATTTGTGCAAGATATTATTTAATAAAATTCTGACATAAACTGTCACCTCTATCGCTTTAACAAGCCAATGGTTTTTGATGCGTTGTTACTAAGTCCAGGGCAATAACTCAAATTCCTTTGATGAAAAGATTGTCAAATTCGAACTTGTATAAGATCTCATCATTAAAATTGATCTCACCAAATTTCATTTGGCCTCTTTTGTGTTCACAAACAAATTTTGACGTGTTTTCTAAGTCGAAGGCATAACTCAAAAAGCGTTCATCGAAAAATCGTCAAATCAATCTACATTATCACATCAAGTTTCATTAAAATCAGATAAAAACTGTAGTCTTTATTGTGTTCACAAGAAATGTTAACGGACCAACAGACCGACAGTCAGGGGTGACGGCAATATACGTCCACATTTCCATGTGGGCATGTAAAAACTGTTGTCTCTATTGCGATCACATGTTAATTGTGGACGGACAGACAGACGGACAGGGCCGACGACAAAATACAACCACATTATAATGAGGGCGTATAAAAACCAAAGACATTGCACTGAAAATTGAAATGGTGCAAATCTACGCTTTCAGTGTCCCAGATACTCATTAAAAACATCTAAACAACAAGTCAGTAGTAACCTAACCTTAATAAGTCAAGGGCGATAACCTACCTGATGAATAATAACACTAGCTAATGCTGTAACTTTACAAGGAGCTGGTTGATTGACATTATTACCTAAACCTAACTGTCCATTACCATTGTAACCCCAACCATATACCTAAAATATAATATCCTCTTGGAGTTATAGAGAAACTTCCATAGACAAATTATCATCTTCAAAGGTATCCTTAACCTTTTGAATCATCATCATTATTTTTAGTTTCATGAGAGTAGTAAAGAGGTTTTTAGAAATTTTATGTGTATCGGGGAACACTTATAGCATCAATTTGCACTATTCCAATTTTCAGTCAGCCATCTGTGGTTCCTAAAACTCACAAAAAGAAGAGTTTGATGACATCTCAAAATATGATTGTATCACATCAGGCCATGTGCGATTAGTGACGTCATCAAAGGCCTAGTTTTAGTGGAATTGCAGGCACTGATTGAAAATTGGAATGTTGTTAATTGTTGCTATTAGTGCACCTGATACACGTAAAAAATTTAGAAAACCTCTTTACAATCCCATTTCAGTTCTGTGAATGTGCTTTCGTAACTTTGTCATTTTACAACCTTTACTGTAAGTAGGAAAGTATTTAAGTGATATAAAGCAATACCTACATAGTCTTTTCATTGACATTTTAATCTATTGTTATGATTAGTTAAGAAACAAAACAAATTTTACCTCTCCATTCTCTATCAAGGCCATAGAAGATGTTTGTCCACAAGCTATAGCAATGCATGGTCTTGCTGCAATAAAACAAAAATGCAGATAAAAACAATGACTTAAGGGAAATTTCTCTTTTTTTGTGGGTCGAAAATCATTTGGCTCTAATTTGTAAAGATAACTTGCCAGGCAAGGTAACATACGCCCACTGGCAGCTGTCAGAGATGATAACTAAATCTTTATTGACCAAAAATATATTAAAGATCTTCATAATAATATCAAATTTCTCATATTGAAGATCTTCATAAGTCTTCGGACTTATCAATCCCAATGCTCACAGCAAAGTTTCATGAAAATCAATTGACTATTGTAGCTTCTATTGTGCTAACAAACAAATTTTGACGCGTTTTTAAAAAGTCAAGGGCAATAACTCAAAAACCGTTCATCCGAAAATTCATCAAATTCAAACTTGACTGCCATCTTATCAATCCCAATGCTCACACCAAGTTTCATGAAAATCAATTGACTTTTGTAGCTTCTATTGAGCCCACGACAAAATCCTTACGCGATTTTACTAAGTTAAGGGCAATAACTCATAAACTGTTCATCGTAAAATCATCAAATTTGAACTTAAGTACCGTCTTATCAATTTTAATGCTCACACCAAGTTTTGTCAAAATCTGTCAAGAATTGTGTCTTGTAGAGTGTTGACAAGCAATTGTCGATGGACCGTCGGACCGACAGACATGGGATACGGCAATATTCGCCCCCCCATTTCATGTGGGCATATAAAAACCGATGATGGAACAATCATTAAATTAGAACTTGACCACCGTCTTATCAATCCCAATGCCTACACTAAGTTTCATTACAATGTGCCCACAAGAAATGTTGACGGACGGCTGTGAGACCAACCAAAAAAACTGTACACCAAAATCTAGAGAAATGTATCTGAAAATTTTAACTAAAAAAAATTCAGCTGTTAATTTTTTAACACCAACAATTTTTAAAAGACAGCTTGCCAAACAAGGTAATATACATCCACTGGCAGCTTTGATTTTGATTAAAAAATATAGCAGTACAGTAACAATCACCAGTATGAAATATTCAACCTTCAGTCATACAACTTCTTTTGAACTCTTTAGGGTGATACTGAATAATATTGAGTATGAATTATTGCCCTTGTTCTTGAAAATGTGTGAAGAATTCCTATAAAAAATTTTTCTATTTTTTTCATTTTCAGTAGGGTTCATCCATGGGTGATAATAAACAATTTCACCAAGTCTTGTCAAAATCTGTCAAGAATTGAGCCATCTAGAGTGTTTACGAGCTAAAAATTTAACACATTCTCAAGAACATGGGCAATAACTCATACTAAATATTTTCGATTTTTCTGATTTTCAATAGGGTTCACATTTGGGTGATAACAAACACAATTAGAGATGTTATTCAAATTAAAATGAACGAAAAAAATTTGATAGGAAGCGTCATTTTGATTAGCGTAATATTTCTGAAAATAGATATTTCTCCCTATTTGCATGTTTTAAGTACCAATCGAGACCTTAGACTCTTTGCAACAACAGTTATTACGTCGAATTTTGCTTTCTTTTTTAATATCATCAATAAAAGTGAAAGAAAATACTTAAAAAATACTAAATTAATAAAGTATATACTAAAAATATGAATAGAATTGAACTTATAGATGATGAACCATTCATAGAAAACGCCCTATTTTCAAATATTATCAAGACTATTTCTGATACATTTTCATTATTTAAAGGTCAAATTGAAATAGATGGAAAGATATTTCAGGATGGACTATAAGATGTGAGACTTCTTGGTTTCAATGCCAAAACTTTTTATATCTTTTCAAATATGGATATCAATTCTGATATTACGAACTGGTATTTAACAGGAAAAATAATTTTACGTAAAAACAATTTTAAAGAAATAAAAAGATAAAATGTTGGTAGAGGAACTGAACTACTTATAAAGATATATTAATATATAGGTAAAAATTGTTACGTACCAACAGATGGTAACTGTTTATTAAATGTGTAAATCTTGTTTTGAACAAAGATTTAACAGATAAATTTATAGATTTCATCAACAGTTTTCAAAATCAAATAGAAATGAAGTAATGACAACTCCTAGAATTAATGAATTCAATACGAGGTCTGATACTTCATTTCAAATTTATAATCCCCAAAATAGACATTTATATCCCAGAGATGTATACGAGCAATTATATTTTTTTTTTTACTTACATAACTCACATTTCTGTCTTATAAGAAGAAATGACAAAAGTTTAGGTATTAAAGAAATAGAAGATAATTATGAACAAAACTAAACTAAGTATGAGTGATGATGCTCTGTTCGCTTGGGATTGTGAAACATATACAGAAAGTGAAAACCGCAAAGTAATTCCATTTTCCTGCACTTTAGTTAATTTAGAAAAAGTAAGAAAATTCCAAATCTACATCCTATTCCAGAAAATCTTTATAATCAACTAATGAATATATTAAAAATATTTGTGGATAAAGATTGTATCTAATTTACGAATGAATTTAAGAAAGATCATGGATGTAGATATTGCTAAATATATATGTCAGATTTAGACAGTGAATATCCAAAAGCAGAAAGTGCTAGTTTTTACCAGAAGAAAAAAAAGAATTTGTAAAATCTTCAATAAGCAGAAATTTAGACCAAAAACTGCTATTTTAAAGTCTGGTTTGAATATCCCAAAAACGTGTTCTTTCAAACAATATCAACTAAAGATAAAATTACTTTTATGCAAATAGAAGGTAAAAAGGAAACTGGCACTAAAATCAGAGAAAAAAGAGACTCATAAAAAGTGTCTACAAAAAAACGAATGTTAAGCAATCAAGGAAGTTATTTTGTGTGTATAAAAAGATTTTTAATGTGCTCCGTTTTTTTTCATTAATTATTCCATCTAATGAAGGGGTTATAGGATTCTGATTAAGTTTTTGATAGTTCAGGATGTTGGACAGAGGAAAGTGTCTTTTAAATTGTGTTTTTGTGAAGATTTACGAGTGTATTATGTGTTATAACTTATAAAGTCAACAATACCGTATTTACTTCATAGTTTGATTGATTCATAGATATACTACAACTACAGATTCATTTTATAATAATATGAAATTGAAAGTATTGACAAAAACACAACAGATATCCTTCTGTTTATTCTACGAAATTTTCGAATCCTTTCCGATCTCTAGAATTGCTAAGAAAAGGGAAATGAAAGTCCAATACCTAATTGACCACAGGAGGAAAATACGGTTTTGATGACTTTATAGGTTTTTAACATGGACATTCAGTCGATCCTCTCTGAAACATTCAATTTGAAAAGACATTTCCACAGCTTGATATTTGGAACTGTTGAAATTCTTTTTCAGTTTTTTCCATGATTTCTTCTAGAGAAAGAATAATTAATAGAGAAAAAACATTCCACAGAACCCTCTATTCATCATAATGATAACCTTGATTCAACATATATAACAAGTCCATGCTTTTTGGTTATAAAAATCCATTTCTGTCTGAAGCATTTTTTTCCGGAGTTACCTCACTTCATTTATAAAATGAACATAAATGAAACTGCTTTATTGCCTATTTTTAATTGAATAATAGGAAATAAAACAAGTTTTTTTTATATAAATAAATCTTGCTGTGGGGGGATTTCATATATGATTTGAAGGTGATGGTGAATTGTAGAGTTATGTGTTTTTTTTTCACATTATGATGGAAATTAGGTGTTTGAGCTTTCATATTGGTATATAAAATTTCTTGGAATTTCTTGTTCGAGGTCTATTTCAAGGAATTATGTGATTTTCGTACAGTGTAAGTTGTTTTGAAGACTGTTTATAGATTCAACCCCGTACATGCTGCATCTGTCCCTTTAAAGGTCAACTTACATCACCATCTTGTGTTCTGGCCATAGAATGATGACTACCACAAGCTACCTGTACAACTCGTTTACTCTGTAGACTAGAGGTAACTAAGACTGGTATCAATCCTTGACTTGATCCACCATTACCAAGTTGACAATATCCATTATGTCCCCAACTATACACTTCACCTACTGTTTATAATATAATAAAGAGAAATCATAAGGGAATTTATTGTCTTTAAAGGGATAGATTTGCCATCTGTTTGACCAATTGTACTTTCGTCTCAGAAACGTGAATTTTTAGCTAAGCAAATCAGTAATAGTTTTCACAGCTCACCGTCAAAATTTTAGCCATCAAATCCATGAGTGTCCAGAATTATCCACGTTTGAAAGTTAAATGAGACTCTGCCATATACGGAAAAGACATGCATAGAAGAGAGTGAAATTCCTATTCAGATGAATTTTTGAAGAAATTGTGCCATTTAATATATTCAAGACCCAATTCAACCTCTGAAAGTGACAAACTTGTGCTTTTAAACAGGCTAAAGCACAAAGGTTTTCCAACTGATCTAGTGTCTCATTGAAAGAAGATACCAACTATTTGCATAGATTTTAAAGCATTTTAGTCATCGATACCATTATTTTGTGGAACTAGAAAAGATCTTAAATGCACAACCGATTGCAAAATATGTTTGTAACACACAAGATCCTTCATCAAATACTTAGTTTTAGTGGAATTGCAGGAACCATAGACATTTGATTGAAAATTTGTATGGTACAAATTGATGCTATCAATGTTTCCAAATATAAAATGCAGAAAACTCTTTATAATCCTATTAATAGGTACCTATGGTATGAAAAATTCTGTGAAGAAAGATATACTTACATCCTGAAACTGCTAAGACATGAGGACCACTACCAAATGCTATATCTATTATTTTCTTCTTACATAAAACTTCAATCTTCCTTGGCTCAAAACTACTGTGCGTGTCTCCTAGGACAAATATATGGTGACCATAATAACATATTGTTGTGAAATGGTTCCGTGTTCATATATAAACTAAACCCGTTTGACTCAGATCTATCAGCTTCCAAGCTAGTTTACATCATCTGCATTTATATTTTGTAAAACATGAATGGGAGTGGGAATGTTTGAAAACGTGAAAAAAATCTTTACTGGGCCAATTTACAACAGTAGATTTTTCAAATTTTAATTCAAACGATCACACTATACTATACTATATGAATAGTTTTTCCTAATATATAATAAGCATTTTTCTTTTTAGGTCAAAGGTGAAAATGTATTATAACCATGTAAGATAGCTTGCCAAACAAGGTAATATACGCCCACTGGCAGCTTTGATTTTGAATAAAAATATTTAGCAGTACAATAACAATCACCAGTATGAGTATCCTTGGGTGATAACGAACACTCACACCAAGTTTCCTCAAAATCCATCAATAATTGTGCCTTCTAGAGTGTTTAAGAGCTAAAAATTGAATGTGTTTTCAATAACAAGGGCAATAACTTATACTAAATATTTTACTATTCTTCTGATTTTCACAGCACATTTTGTCACAATCCGACAATAATTGTGCCTTCTAGAGTGTTAACGAGCTAAAAATTGAATGCGTTTTCAAGAACAAGGGCAATAACTTATACTAAATATTTTACAATTCTTCTGATTTTCAATAGGGTTCATCCTTGAGTGAATACTCACACCAAATTTTGTCAAAAACCATCAAGCATTGTATCTTGTGTTTACGAGCAATTGTGGACGGACGGACATGGGTGACGGCAATATACGCCCCCCATTATGGATGACCTTGACCTTTGCAAAGTCAAAGGTCATTGATCTAGGATGTCCAATCATACTTTGATCTTTGATGTCTGATAATACTTCAGCTTTTGCAGACGTTCGAAAACAGCAGTAATCAAAACCTTTAAGGTATTTATCTCTTTTATTTGACCTTTGTTGACATCTTAACCAAAACAAAAGTTAATGTGCTTGATGAGACCTATTCAAATATATGTTCATTGTTGTGCGATTTTTACTTTTGGCTTTACAGCTATTTGAAAATTCAACTTTATACTACCGAATGTTAACACCTTTTAGTACCGAATGGTATCAAATTCATGCGTCTTTTTAATACCGGACATTTATCGATTTTTTTACAACCGAATGTTCACAAGCTCTTTTTTCAGTAAGAAATCCCACTATGACTTTAAAATGCAACGTTTCACCGATATATCACCTAGAATACGCACTGCATGGGTACCATCCATGGTTCTAGTTATTTCTGTCTCTATACCAGCTGACATCTGTCCAAACAGCTGTCTCTATACCAGCTGACATCTGTCCAAACAGCTGTCTCTATACCAGCTGACATATGTCCAAATAGCTATCAGAGGCTGGAATAAAGACAGTTGTTTCGGTAGAAATGACAACTGTTTACTTCATTGGGACGTTTAATTCTAGTTAAAAAGTTGTGTTGAATATAAAAAAAATCTATATGATATCTATCATTGATCTGCTGGTATAAAATATTTTTTATATAATATAATAATTTACAGTCTTCAAAGAAACTTCTGTTCAGTGGGAGACTTTGCATTTACTATAAATATGTGACCAAATCTAACAGTGTATCAACTATATTTAATATCAACAGGTCTTGCTAACGTTAAAACCATGAATAACCTATTATGTTCCGTTCTGTTGATTTCCGTTATACTGATTCTTATAGATGCCGGTAAATATTTTATTTATTACCTAAAAGTTTCTTTATGAATCTAAAGTCAAACTTTGTATATCTGGGGGAAATTTAAGTTAGCTTTTTTATTGTGGGAAGTTCGAGTCAGAAGAAGTTTACTAAACACATTTTAAATCATCTTTGTCTTTAAATAGTAAATTAATATGTAGTTCTTGAGACAAATACTTGATGATATATTGTTGGGGGTAGTATATCGAGTTAGAAATAAATAATATCAAAATTAAATTTACAGATTGTTCGACTTATCCAAATGTAACAGACGCAAATTTTGATAAAGTCTGCAATGGAAATGTAGTCATTACATGTAGTAAAGGTTTTAAGATGGTACAAGGGCTGGAATGTGTTGAGGAAAAATGGAGATATCAAAACCCAATATGTAAACGAACAGGTAAGATAATTTCAAATAATTGAATTACAAATACACAATATTAGAGTTGACACATCAAATCGCTCAGTGAATAGTTGATATCAACTTCCTTGATACATGTCATAATACATTATATAGTGGAATTCAAATCAATAAACTTCATGAAACAGTTTCCATGTGGGCGTATAAAAATCCCAATAAATATCTTTTTAACACCCAAGTCTGTAACATCATGAAAAAACATCTGTTTTAAACATTAAGTTACTTGTTAAAATTGTGTAGACGATCTTATCTGAATATCTGGACAAAGATTTGACCATATATCATGATGTATGGCGATATTTGTGTATTATTCAATCAGGCAATATTACTATCGATATGAATTCCTATAGCGGTGTATGTCGTGATACTGGTAAATCACCCAGCCCTAAGTGAGGCATATGAAAGGAAGAAAAAAAGAATGAATATCTTACCTAATCCTAAACAGCTACTACAGTTTGATCCAATAGCATAAACATCATCACCTTTAGTGATAAAAATAGCTTCATTTCCAGAACTTCCAAAAACACAAACTTTATCAATGGAGTTGAGTGTTTCCTGATCCAGGATACTAAATATAGGCCAGAGTTGTAAGTCAGATATACTGTCACTAGACACCAGTCTGGATGTGTTGGAATTAGATGTATGTGTCTGGTTTGAGCTAGACAGGCTGCTGGTAGATTCTGTTTCCATCTTACAGATATTAGATCTTGTGTTGATTAAAATGGTGAAGTCAATTTCTAATCACGGAATAGAATACCAACAGATATATGCAGTCAATTTCAAATCACGGAATAGAATATCAAATGCAGTCAATTTCAAATCACGGAATAGAATATCAACAGATTGATGCAGTCAATTTCAAATCTCGGAGTAGAATATCAACAGATTGATGCAGTCAATTTCAAATCTCGGAGTAGAATATCAACAGATTAATGCAGTCAATTTCAAATCACGGAATAGAATATCGACAGAATGATGCAGTCAATTTCAAATCACAGAATAGAATATCAACAGAATGATGCAGTCAATTTCAAATCTCAGAGTAGAATAACAACAGATTAATGCAGTCAATTTCAAATCACGGAATAGAATACCAACAGATTGATGCAGTCAATTTCAAATCACAGAATAGAATATCAACAGAATGATGCAGTCAATTTCAAATCTCGGAGTAGAATATCAACAGATTGATGCAGTCAATTTCAAATCACGGAATAGAATATTGACAGAATGATGCAGTCAATTTCAAATCACGGAATAGAATATCAACAGATTGATGCAGTCTATTTAAAATCACGGAGTAGAATACCCACAGAATGATGCAGTCTATTCAAAATCACGGATGCAGTCAATTATTGTTAATCATAGCATTCAATATCCACAGAATGAAAAGATGGTGTTGAATATATTGTTGATATGTCTCTTGATTTATTGACAATTTGACTGACAATGGCTTACTTTTTTTAATTCACATTCACTACAATTCAGAACACCGGATTCTTTTATTTCAAAATTTTTATATATATTCTTCTCCCTTCTCATTTTTTATCTGTATCATCATGAATACTGTAATGATAAAAAAATATTGATATATTTCTACTTGAATGAATGAATAGGCCTATCTGATCGGCTAAGGAGGTCATTTTCGTGTGAATTTTCTTGAAGGGAAGTGCGCATATTTCATTTGTAAAATCACTGAACCTTATATTTCTATGGACCCGAAGATATTCTTAAACAACTGACATAAGCTTACAGTTGAAAATTTAATTTTGAATATTTATTTACAGTCAAGTAACCTAATTTCGTGCTAACCCATTTTTCGTGCATCTCCGGAAATGATTAATAAATTACATGTGCGACTTTGCGTTTGTTTTGATAAACATGGGTTATTCTCTACAATATCAGCTAGTAGAATGAATCCAGTTGTTTCAATCAAGGTAAAATGTATTAATGTATACTTTGACAAATACAAAATGACAGGTTTCAGTTATTAACAAACGTCACCATTTTTTTTATCGGCCGAATTTCCTTATAATCCCAAGCTGTAATTGGAGTTCAGAGTGTCGTCTGCTAGAATGTAGTCCAACAAATGAAGTCACGTGATCAACTAGCGGATTCTATGGAACACAATGTGGGCCATATTCTTATGTTGTTTCAATGACTTTTAGCAATAAGTCACGCTACGTATCTTATTTTGTCAGTCACTATTTTTTTGTTAAATCTTGGTTCTTTCCAGGAATTGTCACTAGTTATTATTAATTGATATTAAAGATAGATACTATCTTAGTTAATGATACCACTGGTTATCTATACAACGTGTTTTTCTCGACTTATTTATAGAAAATTGTTGAGTTGGCTACTCATGAAATATGGGTGAAATATGGGTAAAAGTGAGGGATTCATTAAGAAAATCGAAACAAACCAATTTTAATTATTTTGTGAGGAAACATCTAAGACATGAATGAAAAATTCTGTTTTTTTTAACTTTGACGAAATTCGGTGTTGAATCCTTATATGCACGAAAATAGGTTACACCACTGTAAAATGAGAGGAAATGTAGCCTAGTCAGAGAGTAACTGTCAGACTCTTTTTCTTACAGAAGAACCTTTTGTCAATCATTTTGGAATCGACTGAAACATATACTCAAATGTTATAGGTTGTCTTTGATGATAAAAATTCAAACAGATGAAAATTCAAACCGACGAAAAATTTATTAGAAGTCTATTTGGAAATTTGATTTCCTAACGCAAGATTGAGTGAGGGAATTTTCATTCTGAAATGTTTTGTTGCAAAGTTTGTTACTTTTTTCATCATGTGAAATTTCGGAAACTGATTATACTTCAAAAGAAATATAGTTAAACCTTGTATTTCTATAGACCCGATAATAAGACAATTGACATGCAAATTATTAATCCAATTTTAAGCCCAACATTATCGTCTTATTTTAACAGCAAAGTTACCCTTAATTTTTTTACCAAAAAATTCATTCATGACTTTATTGTTGTGTTCGCTTGGAATAGCTCTGTTGTGTACCCTTGCACATATGCTACAGTTTACCCTCGGCCCTCGCACTAATTATTTTAGAAATACAATGGGGAAATAAATTCCCGTAATTTTCGACTAAAATAGATTGTTACATTGAATATTCAATGATTAATCTAAGCAATGTAGAGATAAAGGGTGGTGTGGTTACGTTAATGTTATATGTGAGAAACCGAACGAATGCTGGTAATGTGAAGGACGCGACCTTCACCTTTTGTCGTAATTAAAGAGTCTTATTTGCAAATCCTTGTCGTGTTCACTTCAAAATCCGTCTGGATAATCGAAATAGTGTTAAGGTCACTGTGGAATCAAACATGGCATCCCGGTTAGCCTTTTCCAGATTTCTATTACAAAATGTCAACAAACAGCACTTTAAAACCTTGCAAACGCGGAACACCTTGGCTCGAAGTTATGCGGCTGTAGCTGGCAGTACAGAACATACACTCGAAGTTAAACGTAGGATCGAGGACAAGCGAGAAAGAGCACTCCTCGGTGGTGGGCAGAAAAGAATTGCCAAACAACATCAAAAGGTAGGCCAATAAGCATAGAGGTAGGTAGATGACAAGTTAACGTTCGCTTCCAGCGGATGCTGATATCGCAAACTAGGTAGTTGTTGGTAGTCGTAGTAGTTGGTAGTTGGATTGGATCAAATTGGATGATTCGGTGTTGTTGGTTTGGTTGTTGATTCTTTGTTAGATCTGGTCGGGTCGAATGACATGGCGGTGAAACTCGGCCCTGGATGGTGTGGCGTGAGTTACTCGGTCTCTTTCATTCTTCCAAACTCGTTCTGATCATGGTATTTCTTGTTGATTGGTAGTCGAATGGTAGTCGTTGGTTTGGTTTGGTTTGGTTCGATTATCTGTTATCTGTTGGAAAACTCGAAGACCTGAAAAAAAAAAAGAAAAAAAAATAAGCATAGAAGCAATCAGAGGAATATATAGTAACTAGAGTCACGTGACTCCCATTGGCTCAACGATGAAGGTTTGTACTGGAATTGAGCTGGAACGATGTCAGTCAATTCCAGGGAGTTTTACAGTGAATACTCTGATGTTCTGTTTGTTTGCAATTGACGGTCATCGATGGCCGAACCTATTGCTATTTCGTGTTTAAACCCCTTGGGTTATACGCTCACATGAAATGGGGGTCATATGTTGTCGTCACCAATGTGACCCATGCATCCATCCGTACACAGTGTATTACCACCCACAATCTTTACTTACCACCCGTACATCATATAGTTGTATCAGTACGTCTTGTTGATTTTTATACACTTTATAACTGGTACACCCTACTTTCCACACCTTAATTGCCATCCGTACCACACATGATCGTATTTACTCTCAGTACCAGTGAGGTTTCTAAAAAATGTACCTAGAGAATGCTAAATTTCATAGCACCAGGACCTTTTGGGATGTATGCTAATTTCGTGTAAACAAAATGGTGGAATGTCTACTTTCGTTTCATTGCAAGAAATCAATTTATGTTAACACTGTCTTGTTCAAACTTGACAAAATCCATTACAAATTAGTCAAGAGTCAGCTAATTTGCCACAGATAAAACAATTTATCAAAAGGGATGCTAATTCATGAATTTAGAGAGATTTTTTTCAGATAAAATGTACTCACAATATTTTTCTTTAAATATGATTTCATTTATTAAAACTAATGATCAGTGATTTACAATTATTGTAGTGAATGAAATTCCAATTAATCCAATTATGCCAACAACTTTCATCAGACATTTGCGACAAAAACATTAGATTAATGTTTGTATCTGTTTTAGGGAAAGTTAACAGCAAGGGAGAGAATTCAATTGTTACTAGATCCTCAATCATTTGTTGAATATGATATGTTTATGGAACATGATTGTACTGATTTTAATATGCAGAAAGAAAAGGTATGTATTCTACATATTAATATTGAGAGCAGATATCTTCTTAGGGCTGGGCAATATTGGTCAAAAGCAATATCGCGATATTAGAGCTGATAATATCGTGATATGGGTATATATAATAATATTTTGTTTTGGTTCCATATATCACTAGTGCTGTTCTTTTTTGGCACCAACGCACCTACATCGAGATTTTCTACCAACGCCGTGTTTTTGCTTTTACCCTGATAACAAGGGTGTGGAAATAACTTATTGTTTTTTAATAGAACAAGATCTTATCAATTTTCATTTTAGTCCAAAAATATGCTGGCCAGGTATATTTCTTTCATTGTTACCGTATAATTCGATTTCTTTTAAATATCCATTGAACAGGAATTAGTTTTGTTTTAGAACGTCACAGGTTTTTTTTATTAATATAGTCCATAGGGCTTACTGATTCGGTGTCATCACGTTTAACGGATTCATGGGTCATAAGGTCACAGCATAATATTATTGAAAGTAGACTGACTGACCCAAATTCTCGGAACCGTACCATCAATATCATCCTATATTGGTAATTAGATCTAGGCCTAGCGTATCGGCTAGGTCTATCGGTTTCACAAAAAAAAGTGAAAGTAAAAGGCATGGCGGATGTTGATCGGTCTGTTTTTAGTAACAACAGAAACATGTTATGACAAAACAGTGTTTGCAGTGAATCTGTTATTGTTAAGGGTATTTATATTGCATTAATTAAAAGAACGTTATTTCGATATTTTAATCATCAGACGGTATTACTAACGGTATGAATTTCCATACCGGTATTTATCGTCATACCGGTATATAACCCAGCCCTATATCTTCTCCTAACTATGACTGATAGATTACCATTTATTCATGAATTAGAATGCATCTGAATTTTTGCAATGCTTCCTAAGGTCACTGTGGAATAGAATATGGTGAGTTTTTATACGCCCACATGTAATGTGTAAACAATCCAAAAAATAATCTGCTATAGAAAAACCTAAATAGTCCTAAAGTCCAACATGTTTCAAGAGCACAAAGGACCCCGTCCTTAGGGACAGACACACATGAAATGTTAGTTGATGTCTCTTTCCTTGGTAGTTGCTAAAGGTGCGGGCACACAGACAGTCTTGGTCGCAGATTTTTGGTTGCCGATCTCCTGTCCACCATGTCAATAATCACGTTCTGACCATGCAATTGAAAGGAAATGAATCTGATTGGATGATGACGGTCTGTCTTGCAGACGATAAAACTATCGGAGACAATTATAAAACTTGTTTGATATTATAAATCTTATAACTCGAGAATCTTGTTGTGGAAGCACGGACACAGGCATGATTTAACTTGTGACTCTAATTGGCAACAAAAATCTCTGACCAAGACTGCTTGTGTGCCCACACTTTTAAGTAAAATTCCAACATTCTTCTCATTGTAGGAATCAAATATGGCTTCATAAAATGATGATTGTTCAATGCCTACGAGCAGAAAAATGACTTATAAAATAAAAAATACTGTGGAAAAATTCAGCATAAATATCTGACAGTAAACTACAAATGTGTTAAAATGATAATACGTCTTAAAATGAACATAGAATTTAAGTTCTCAAGAATGGAGTATATATTCATCAGTGAACTTACCTGGTGTCATAAAGTTACAACAGAATCCATGTAAAATCTGGAAAATTGGAAAATTTATAAAACCAGGTAACTATTGAAAAACGCTTAATCATAATATTAAGCATATTTCAATAGTTAATTGCATGTTTATGGATAATTACTAAGTTTTTTTGATTTATCAGATTATATAAGGATACTGTTATGTTATTTATGACACCAGGTTTATCTACTGATGAGTTTAATGCTCTTATTGGCTAAGATTAAAATTCTTAAATTTTATGTTTATTCTTAGACATAGTATTCCTTTAAGAAGATCTTTGAAATGAGTCACTAAAAACTGTATTATTGTGTCTGACAGCTCCCAGTGGACGTATGTTACCTTGTCACTTTTGTAATGTCATTTTCTGTTCTACAGTACCCTGGTGATAGTGTAGTAACCGGTCGAGGTAAAATTAATGGTAGATTGGTCTTTGTATTTAGTCAGGTAATTTTTATTAAACATCAAGTTTTTTACTAACAGCAGTTTAAATTATTTTTGCTAATTCTTGAAAGCTTTGTGCTATAAATATTACTATATACAAGTTTGTAGTTTGTGAGTACTGGCACAATCATTGAATGTGTATTTCCTAAAGAACACAAGTTATATGGATATATTACTTCTAGTTTTATTACATACTACGTTTCTAAACACAAGTGATATGATCAAATGATTTTACTTAATAACGTTACCTGTATGTGTTTTAAAACGTAGTATGTAATAAATGTTCTTAATGTTTACCTTCCTGCTTCTATATGTCTAACAAAGATTATGTGTATTTCCTTTTCAGGATTTTACTGTATTTGGAGGTAGTTTATCTGGTGCTCATGCCAAAAAGATATGCAAGGTAGGAAATGTGATTACTGGTTTCCATGGTAACAAACAAAAAAGCAGTGATTATAAACATTTTTGGAATTATTCTATGAAAGCACACTTGATAAGTTAATATCTTGGAAGGAGGGACAGGTTCTTCGTTTTCTGGGGTTGATTTGGGTCATGGAAACATATAAATAGTCTTCAGAAGTACTAGAAATGTACGAAATCCCAAAATTCCTTTAAAAATATCTCAAACTAAGAATTTCACTTTCTATTTCTATAGATGTCTCTTCTATATATGACAGCGTCTCAAGAAATGTCGTCTATTTAACTTGCGAACATGGTTAATTCTGGACACACATGGATTTGAAGGCTCAAATTTCGACAGTAAGCTGTGAACACAACTAGATTTCCATTTCGGAGACTAAGTATGATTGGCCAAAGGGATGGCGAACATGCCCCTTTAACTCATAAGAACTTTGTGTTTAAAGGTAATGGACCAGGCTATGCTAGTAGGGGCACCAGTTATTGGCTTAAATGATTCTGGTGGTGCCAGAATTCAGGAAGGAGTGGAATCTCTGGCAGGATATGCTGATATCTTTCAGGTATTATAGTTTCCATTTTCTCCTATTATGCGCCCACATTATTGCTGTCACCTCTTTCTGTCGGTCCGTCCGTACACAATTGCTCATAAACACTCTACAAGGCACAATTCTTCACTGATTTCGACAAAACTTGGTATAGTTGTTTGTAATCACCCAAGGATGAACTCTATTGAAAATCAGATGAATCGAAAAATATTTACTATGAGTTATTGCCCTTGTTCTTGAAACGCTCGTAAACATTCTAGAAGGTGCAATTCACAACGGATTTTGATGAAACTTGGTATGAATGTTTGTAATCGCCCAAGGATAAACCCTATCGAAAATCAGAAAAATTGAAAACTATTTAGTATGAGTTATTGCCCTTGTTCTTGAAAACACGTTCAATTTTAGCTTGTAAACACTCTAGAAGGCACGATTATTGACAGATTTTGACGAAACCGTATTGAAAAACAGAAAAACTGAAAAATATTTAGTATGTGTTATTGCCTTGTTCTTGAAAACATGTTCAAATTTTAGTTGGTAAACACAGCTGGAATGGACAATTCTTGATGGATTTTAACGAAATTTGCCCTTATTCTTGAAAAGGCGTTCAATTTTTTAGCTTGTGAACACTCTAGAAGGCACTATTATTGACGGTTTTTAACAAAATTTGGCTTGAGTGTTTGTTATCACCCAAGGATAAAGCCTATTGAAAATCATAAAAAATAAAAATATTTAGTATGAGTTATTGCCCATGATCTTGAAAACTCGTTCAATTTGTAGCTCATAAAAACTCTAGTAGGCATGATTCTTGCCGCATTTTGACAAAACTTGGTTTTATTATTCATTATTGCGCTGAAGATTGAATATTTGTCTTCTAGACACGTGCTTAAGATTGAACACGTTTTCAAGAACTAGGGCAATAACTCGCACTCAATATTATTCAGTATCGCCCTAAAGAGTTCAGAAGAAGTGTATGACTGAAGGTTGAATATTTCATACTGGTGATTGTTACTGTACTGCTAAATATTTATGTTCAAAATCAAAGCTGCCAGTGGGCGTATATTACCTTGCCTGTTAAGCTATCTTTATCAATTATAGGCCTTTATAAACAGGTATTGTATATTGATATATGATATATGATATCACAATATTATAATTGTGAATCAAACACCCTTAAGCTAAATGGGACCCAAAGATATCTATGGATTTTTACACGCCAACATGATAATGAGAGCGTATATTGCAGTGACCCATGTTCGGCTGTCCGTCGGTGAGTCCACAATTGCTCTTAAACACTCTACGAGACATATTTCTCGAAAGATTTTGACAAAACTTGGTATGAGTGTTCGTAATTGTAATCACCCAAGGATGAACTCTATTGAAAATCAGAAGAATCGAAAAATATTTAGTATGAGTTATTACCCTTGTTCTTGAAAACACGTTCAATATTTAGCTCGTAAACACTCTAGAAGGGACAATTATTAACAGTTTTGACGAAACTTGATTATTTGATATCATGCACGAATGAACCCAGAAATCCAGAAAATTGAAAAATATTTAGTATGAGTTATTGCTCTTGTTCTTTAAAATGTTTTCAGTTTTTAGCTTGTAAACACTCTAGAAGGTTCAATTCTTGACGAATTTTAAAGAAACTTGGTGAAATTATTTATTATCAACCATGGATTGAGTTATTGATCTCGTTTTTTGAAAAAGCTTTCAGATTTTAGCTCTTAAACGCTAAAAGCCTGATTTTTACTGGATTTTGCAAAACTTGGTTTAATTATACAGTATCACCCTAAAAAATTCAAAAGAAGTGTTAAACTGAAGGTTGAATATTTCATACTGGTGATTGTTACTATATTGCCAAATATTTTCATTCAAAAAACAAAACTGCCAATGGGCGCATATTACCTTGCCTGACAAGCTATCTTATTAGTATTATGGAGAAATGTTTTTAATGAATGTATGTTGTAGAGAAATGTTAATGCATCAGGAGTTATTCCACAGATCTCATTGATTATGGGACCATGTGCTGGTAAGTAGAAATTGTATATTTCTTCAATCCAAATACAGTATACAGTAATCTGGAAAACATGTTGGATTGTCAGAGTTTTCAAAGTTTTGAGATTTTTTAACATGTGTTACATGTTACTATATATAGCCCAGTGACCCAAATAAGATTCGCAACTGGTGGTCATTGTTGCGCATCACTGCATACAAAATGGCGCACGATTGGTATTCTTGATTCAAGGCCTACCAAATACAACAAGTAATTTTCACGGTCAACAGCATATGAGCACAAGCATATCGTCCAGCCTTTTCATAACAAACATATTGCATCACATTTCTGTGCTTACCGCTTTACCAATTCCAAACAATGAAAGTGGCACTTCAGCTTATTTACTTGATAAACCCTGTACTACAGTACCTTTCGATGCAAGACAATAATTAAAGACAATTCAGTTGTATACGTTACTATTATTTAATTGTACATATTTTGAGCTACTCTACATACGCTTTTTAGTGGAATGCTCATTTTTTGAAATTCTTTTTCATGTTTTATAATGGTACTTATTGTTGTTTGATCTAAACCAAATTTAATAGTTTAATCTTTCTGTGTTGGGCATGATACCTTTCCATAATCTCCAATAATTTGTTGTTTCATATTCAGAGACAAATCACGCTTCGCAGGACAATCAAACATTGTAAAAATGATAGATGTCTTTTAAACTGACATAAGAAGTAAGTCAATTGGCACCAAAAAAGACGTAAAAATACTCAGAATGTCACATTACTCAGATTGTCTCATATCACAGAGTATACTGTACTCAGATATCTATTATTAATGCGAATGTTTGATTACTCAGAATGTCTGATTACTCGGAATGTCTCATATAACGGAGTATACTGTACTCAGATATCTATTATTATTACAAATGTCTGATTACTCAGATTGTCTGATTACTCAGAATGTCTCATATCACAGAGTATACTGTAATCAGATATATATTATTATTACAATGTCTGATTACTCAGATTGTCTGATTACTCAGAATGTCGGATTACTCAGAATGTCTCATATCACAGAGTATACTGTACTCAGATATCTGTTATGATTACTCAGAATGTCTGATTACTTCTAACTTGATGTATAATGTATATTTATGAGAGTCTGGTCAAGTTCAAATATGACTTATCTTTCGATAAATGGTTATTGCTCTTGACTTACGAAAAACGTGTCAAAATTTTCTTGTGAACACAATAGATCGAATAGATACTTCAGTTTTCAACTGATTTTAATGAAATTTGGTTTGATCATTTATATTGATGAGATCTTGGATAGGTTTGAACTTGATGATTTTTCGATGAACAGTTTTTGAGTTATAGCCCATGACTTAGATAAAATGCTTTAAAATTTGTTCATGGACACTATAGAGACCACAGATTTCATGAATGAATGGAATTTGAAAATGAAATTTGATGTATTTGGGTTATTGATATTGATTTTTAAAATTTTGTGGAATTACTCAGCATAAATAACTGGCATATATATATATGTAATTGAATTCAAACTAATAAAATTTCTTAAATATGAGAAAATTCATACTTTAGTCACTAAAGACTGTTTTATCATTTCTAACAGCTGCCAGTGGGTGTATGTTACCTTGCCTGGCAAGCTATCTTTTATTTGTATTATTTGTGTTGTCCCTCCCAAGTTTAGTAAAGATGGGTTTCCTTTTTCATTATCTAATTAAGCAAACTCTTTGATTAATTGGTGTTTCTAATGAATTATCATGTATTCTTAATCATATCATTATGTTCTTATTGCAAAACTGATGAATTTTGTGAAATGGGAAGTGCTCTGAGAATCTCGGAAGGGATTTTCTAAATTGGTGTAATACAAAAGATAACACTTTTCAGAACAGTTTACTGTGCATGCCTTATAAGCGACCTTCATAACTACAGAGGTGTGTTGAGAACTGTAATGGGCACATTTTATTGGAAGCCTTGTCTTGACTTGAAATGTAATGCTTTACAGCTTTAGTAAAAATGAAAAGTGTTCAATTAGGTACAAAGAGCAAATTCTTTGCCATAAGATTTTTTCAAATGATCCTTTCTTTGATATTTTCATTGATTAGTGTTTCAGGTTGATTTTTCAACAAAATAACTTGTTTTGAAATATTTCTAGACTGTTTTATATTTGGATTGAGAGAGCTACCATGTGGCTGTTTTCTATTCTATCACAGGCTATCTTTTGTTGTTGTTTTTAAGGTGGTGCTGTCTATTCACCAGCTCTTACAGATTTCACATTTATGGTTAAAGTAAGTTTTATTTTTGATTTTATTTATTCTGTATGTTGAAGACATTTATTTCTGGTAAACTCTTTCCAGTATTGCAGGAACCACAGGCTTTGGACAAGAATAGTGTCCCACATAAGGTGGAAATAGACGATGTACTGTGTACGATGCGGGATTATCAATACAGTAGAAAATAGTAGAAGTAAATTGTGTCCTGACCCGTACATCGTGTGTTCACTTCTTCTATTTTCTACTGTATTGATCATCCCGCATCGTACATCACACCACATACTCTACATTAAAAACTACACATAAAAAAGGATAGAAAAACTCTTTACAATCACTTTAAGATTTACTTACCTAAAATTTTGTACTTGTTTTATATTTCAGGACACATCCTATTTATTTATAACTGGTCCAGATGTTGTCAAGGTAACCACTTTCATTATAATTTGATTACTCATTAATAAAACTGTATGGAGTGAGCCCAACTAATTATTTTAATTCACAAACAGTCCTTATCTCAGAAATTATTACATATTTCTACCATGTTTTACTGTAGCAGGCACAGGTAGGTAGATGACAAGTTAACGTTCGCTTCCAGCGGATGCTGATATCGCAAACTAGGTAGTTGTTGGTAGTCGTAGTAGTTGGTAGTGGGATTGGATCAAATTGGATGATTCTGTGTTGTTGGTTTGGTTGTTGATGCTTCGTTAGATCTGATCGGGTCGAATGACATGGCGGTGAAACTCGGCCCTGGATGGTGTGGCGTGAGTTACTCGATCTCCTTCATTCTTCCAAACTCGTTCTGATCATGGTATTTCTTGTTGATTGGTAGTAGCAGGAGGGACAAAGGTCATAAATACTCAGAATGTCATGTCATTTTCAAACAGACTTCAATTTAATCCTTTTTGTGTTTTGTTTTGTAAACAATGCACAAAGCTATAGTCAAACACAGATATTTTTGCTCGTCCGGATATTGTCAAGACATAAACGTAAGCAGTCCATTATACTTTCAAGGGTATTAAAGGGAAAGTATTTAGAGGGTATGACTAATCACTCAATGGAATAAGAAATAAGATTTCAACTTGGTTTATTCTCAAGTAAACATTTTAGAATTTGTCCGAAATCTTCGCTCAGCTAGATATGAATGTACCTCAGTAGGTAATTGGTCTAAAATGATGAGAATCTGGTCCTTCATACCTTTATGTAAGAGTTCTTCTCTTCTGACTTCTCAACTGATTTAATCAATGGTAGGGCTTCAATATGACAGTTTTCAGTAATAACTGTCTATCTATACTGCAATTGATTGTATTTAAATATGGATTTGATGTGTAATAGGTATTATAACTTGTGCTAAGAAACAAGCATACCACTGTATTAACAGTACAAATATAATTTTCATAATCCACCCAATACTGCCCCCCCTTGCATGTTACTGAGTTTTCCAGTCATCCAGTGGGTGCCTACGACAGAGGCTGAGTGGAGTTATGTCCCAAAACGAATGGTCTTCCTGTCACTCGACCATAAATTGCTCAAATAGTGCGCCGCAGGCACAAAATTTCGGCACTTTTTGATGTTCTCAGATCCTTAATTGTGCCTATTTTACGTCCATTACAGACATTCTACTTAACCAAGCTTGACCGTTTGCGGGGGGGACACAGGATGTCAGGTTTTCCGACCCATGATCAATATGATATAAGATAGTGGCATAGCACATGTATGTGACCCTATTTAACTAATACTATCTACTGTATTAGTTTTACAATGTCTAAGATGTTATTAAAGTATTAACTACTGGCTGTTGATTGAAGGATAACAAAGAATATGTGTGTCTGTTTGTAGAAGTTTGACTGTAAAATATGGAAAAAAATTTCGAATAAAATAGAGTGCATTATGGTCAAACATGTCATTTGACTATACTATTCAGTTTTAGTCAGTATATAAATTAACTACTAAATATACAAAAATTTGATTTAAAAAATTATTGTTTTAGTGCTTGCTGCAGTCTTTCATGGGAGATAACTCATTTATACCTATTCTTTTTACTTGATTAATCACGGAAATCGACTCATATTGAAGCAAATTGAGAGCAGCCCACTGCACAATTTATTGAACACATGTGCAGAAAATAACTTTTTTCACAAAAGTTCTTCCGTTTCTAAAAATCTTTGTATTTCCATTGATCTGATAGTAATGAAAATTTCAGACATTAAAATTCTAAACCTAGACCAAAAAGTGATAAAAACAAAAAGGGAAAAACAAATCTACTAAAGCAGCAAACAGGAGCAGTTTGGTCAAATGGACCTGGTACCAATTGCAGAGTGTAGTATCATGTACAAAGATAAAGAACTGGACATCTGAGGGGGACCCATTGTCTTTGTTTGGCCCCTGAGGACCATTAAATGAGGCAAAATGGTGTCATAAAGTTACAACAGAATCCCTGTAAAATCTGGAAAATTGGTAAATTCATAAAACTAAGTAATTATTGAAAAACACTTAATCATGATATTAAGCATATTTCAATAGTTAATTGCATGTTTATTGATAATTATTAAGTTTTTTGGATTTATCAGATTATATAAGGATAATGTTCTGTTATTTAAGACACCAGGTATATCTACTGGCTTTTATTCGCCAAGTTTAAAATTCTTCAATTTTATGTTAATTCTAAGACGTATTATCACTTTAAGAAGACTCAAATTTCGACAGTAAGCTGTGAACACTTTAACTTATTGGCATAGCTGAACAATTTCTGAGACCTAAGTATATTGAACAAAGATGGACTTTAAGATTGTACAAATCTCTTCCTGTTTTGGTCTTGAAGATTTCTATTGGCAAAATCAGCTAGTCTTCCATGGAATGGTCGAGTAGATTAAAGTGATTTGAAGTTGGTCTATTTTTGCCATCTACTATATGGTAACATTATTTAAAATGAGTCTGTAACAAGGGCTGGGTATAATGATTGAAATAATCGATTATCATCGCTGGAAAATTATAATTTCGATCATTGATTATCAAATTTCATAATAGATTAAATGTCAAAGTTACATTTTCTCTACTGTACACGTTAACAAGTAGTAATCTCTTCCACATAGTTTCCCTTCGGCACATACCCACAATAAACTATAATAACTGATCAAAGCAAGAATATACTTCTATAATTCAAAAATTACCCATGAAATTCAGAATTTTGGCATGTTTCTAATTTAGTACAGGGTTTCTCAATTGAATGATTTTGATTATTAATCGGTAGTCTGCCATTGATAATCAATCTGAATTTGGTAATCAATACCCAGCTCTTTCTGTAACATGTTCTTAATTTCCCTTTTGTATTGCACGTCACTTTTTAAGATGAATTTAGGTAAATACGGTATTGGTTACCAACTGAAAGTTTGTAGGTCATGAGAAACGTTTGGCCAGTTTTATTATTTTTAAGGAAATAAGAATTATGTATAAGTTCGCTGGTACTAGCACAAGGTATTTGAGCGCAAAGTTACCCATCCTCAGAGACAGACAAACATGAAATGTTCAACTTTCTGTGGTAGTTGTTAAGTAACATTCCAACATTCTTCTCATGGTATGAATCCAATATAGCTTCATAAAATGATGATCATTCAATAGTCTAGGCTAATGAAGATGCCGCTGATCCCCATTTCAATTTTTTTTACAAGAGTATCCACATTATTTGGATTAACTATAAATTATACAGCTAATGATGTATTGAGCACTATTTTATCAGTAGTTTTTCTATAGAATACTGTAGAGTGATATAGAAATATAAATTTATTTGTATTAAAAGACATTCAGGGTTTTTGAAATGACAAATTAAGATTTTACAGTTTTTGGCTTCAAATAATTTTCTTTTATCAATCCTCTGTTGTTATTATAGGTACATCTTTAATCATGATTGTTATTGTTATATCCCTTTATGGTTTTTATTGATATACCTATATATCTTGTGTTGTTTGGTGGTTAATCATTTTACTTGATAACGTTACCTGTATGTGTTTCAAAACGTAGTATGTAATAAAACTTGAAGTAGTATATCCATATAACTTGTTCTTAAAATTAAGATTTATCAAAAATATTATTGCTTAATTCACACTAATACAAATACCATCAAATTGATATCTCTAATAGTATATAAGATATATATCAAGGTAGAAATGGCTGTTTGCCAGTATGAGTGGGTGTACCTTGACTTTTTTTACAATGATAACGATTGTTAGATAATTTCCTTGGATGTGTTTTATGTGTTTGATATCAAAAACACATAACAGATAGTTAGGTCGAGTTTGCCATTCTTTAAGAGTTGATTTAATCTAGAGCGATGCTTGGATTGTTCATTTGATTCCACTTGTAACAGGAATTTGTTACTCTCTCTGTCTGAAAGTTTTCATTCTGTGTTTTGGCAGTACTATTAACCCCTTTTACATTCACCGTTGCGAGAATGCTTTACTGCTCATGCCTCACAAGCAACCTTCACCTTTTCCCACGGAATTTCGTCATTATTCATTATTCTCCAATTACATCATGGTGACTACAAGGGTTAATTTTAACTTCTTCAAGAAGAGTTCCACAGATAACCGTGCCGAGAACGCTTTTCATTTACACTGATTAACCAATTGACTTTACTGTAATGTAATGAGGCACATTTTATCCCAGCCTATTCCGGAACGCTTTATAGCCATCTAGTGTAAAAGGGGCTATTGAATGATGTAGAAGTCTAGGCTAGAATTAAGATTTGATGATGATAAGTTAATGTACTGGTACTATAAATAATAGTCCTAGGATATTTGAAGTTAAACATCAATCAGCATTCAACAAGTACTAAGATGTTAGGTAGTTTAACTACTAAAATTATACAGGAAAGAACAATCCAAAATTTTATAAATGATTTAGGAATTAGAAATATTAAAACAGAAACTGAAAAAAAATGTTGTTACTGAGAGTTTCAAGCTATGCGATCTTCAGACAACTGAATATGTATTCTCAAACAATCTTTGCGCTAGGATGTCCTAGGTTCTTATCTTTTAACATTGATTCTAGGATGTTCTAGCGCTAAGATCGTTTCGAGAATACCTGGGCTGATCTATAACTATCTTAGATGATGCTTATCTGTACTACAAGTATTGATGTGAAAGGTTTGCCAAATTATAAGAAGATGTTCCTTATCTTTAAAAGCTTAGCATATCATCTGAAACATAGGAAATCATAAAGGAATCTAGAATTATACTACTCTAGAATATAGTATACAAGATGTGATCTAGAATAGAGTTATCTAAAATATACTAAACAAGAAGTTATCCAGAATATAGTAAAAAAGAGGGTTATCTAGAATATGATCAACAAGAGGTTATCTAGAATATGATAAACAAGGTTATCTAGAATGAAGTAAACAAGAGGTTATCTAGAGTATAGTAAACAAG